ACTCAGAAGACGTTCTTTCTTAGATCACCATACACACGCAAGCTCACGGAGGTGGCGACAGATGCGCAGTTGGCGCCAACTAAGGAGGCGAGGTGCCCAGTTGGGGTCTTGAGAAGACCGCACACTTCTGCACCTCCCACGGATGCTCACAAAAGCTGCGACAGTTTCGCGCCTGGCCGCACCCAGGGAGGCGACCATCTTCGCGCCCCCAAGGGGGGGCCTGCAGAGACGGAACCCCTCCATGAGTCTCGGCGGCGCCCAGCTGCACGAGGAGCGCCTCCGGGGAAGGCCCGCGCTGGGACCCTGGGCCACCTAGCTTCGCACACCGCGGCCCACGACGCGCAACGCGCGATCCTCTTCGCGCCCTCGCGCCCCGGCGCCGCCCCCATGGAGAGCGGGACGCGCGAAGCGCGATCATCTTCGCGCCCCCGCGGGTGACCAAGTGAGCGTTTTCTAATTCGGCGTTTCGACACTAAGTGGAAGGGGGGGGAGGGGGGGGGGGGGGCTCAGGACCTATGCTTAGCGCGGCTGTTTGCAACCGTGCGTCCTATGGGGTAGGGACTCCACCTGATTGAAACAGGCGCCAAAAACAGCCAAGATCTACTCCATGAGGGGGGGGAGGGGGGGAGGGTGAGGGCCCGCGCCGATCGGCAAAACAATGAATAAAAAACGATCACCTGGGGGACCTGAGGGAGCATCGAGCCCCTTCCGAAGCCAAAGAGCACCTGAGCTCAAAAGGGTGTCTGGCTGCAGGACGGGGGAAGCGGGGACAGCTCTTCACGTCGAGGTGGTCACGGCAGGCTCGTGTCGTGGCGACTTGAGCGCTGATGTTTTTGATATTGCGTGGATGTTGTCGAGCTTGAACCATCGAAGTTCCGACAGGCCGATTCATGGTCACTGGTGGCGTTCACCCTTGAATGCCGCGCTAAGGCCGCCATCGCGTCAACGCGGCGCGAACCTACCGTACAGTCGGGGTTGTTTGGAGAGGACACGCGAGAGGACACAAGACCCTTCCGAGAGCCACGTTGCCACAGGAATGCAGGAGGGCACGGGTCGCGAAACACAGGACACAAGGGTACCCTCGATTTGCCAGGGTCGACCTACGAATCAGCCTCGACTCAGGTCGGGCATGTCCTCCTACAAGCGGATTTTGGGCGAAAAATGACAAGATTGTCAAAACATACTCAACAATGGTCAACAAATAATAGAAAAAAACGTCCCCAGAATATGTTTCGACTAATTCCTGAATATCCCTCCTGTAGAGGGACTTGCCCGACTTAAGCCTCGAATGTACGCCCCCTGGCCTCAGCCGAGAGAACATTGGCGATGAGGAGGAGGAGGAGGAGGAGGCGGAGGAGGAGGAGGAGGAGGAGGAGGAGGAGGAGGAGGGGGAGGAGGAGGAGGAGGGAGGAGCAGGAGGGAGGAGGAGGAGAAGGAGGAGGAGGAGGAGGAGGAGGAGGAGGAGGAGGGGGAGGAGGAGGAGGAAAAGGAGGAGGAGGAGGAGCAGAAGTAGGAGGAGGAAGAAGAAACAGAAGGAAAGACGGAAGGAAGGAAGGAGATGTCCGGAGGGACCAGGACGGCTCCCATGCATGTGCTGCGCCGCCTTGGAGGCGCGCGTCCGACCCGAACATACAGTATACCCATCTTGTAGTACATCGTTTCCCGAGCGGTGTGGCCAGAAAGCGCCCGCCACGACGCATAGATTACAATATCATGTCTCGGTGCGCGCGTCGCCCCTGGGGTGGGCGACGCACAGATGGTATTAATATGTTGTGGCGACGCCGAGTCAACCCAGACCGGGGTCAGTCGAGCCTTGCAGGAGCCTGCAAAATCCTGCGGGATCTTGCAGGGTCCTGCACCCAAGCCCAGGTCGATGCGATCCTGGCCCTACAGGATCCTGCAAAATCCGTCGCTATGTCTGACCCACGCTTGCAGGGACCACCGTCTCTTGAGCCCCGAACTCGGGCAAGGCAGAGGGGCCTGGCCTTCCTAGAAGGCAGGGGCAGGGGCTTCTTAGAAAGGCCTCCCGCCTCCTGCGAGCCCTGCTTCTCCCGAGCCTCAGAGGGCTTCGTGGGCTTCTCGGACGGCGGGGAGGGATTCTGGAGACGACGCGGGAGCACTGCCTGCGCGCGCAGACTCGGGCGTGGGCAAAACCCTCTTCAGCAAGAGGCCCATTATTATGTTGCATCCTCGGGGGACCCTGTCTGTCCCGTCGCGGCCCTGTCCGCGTCGAATCCGTGTCGAATCCATGTCGGACGCGTCGGATCCGTGTCGAATCCATGTCGAATCCGCGTCGAATCCACGCCAAATCCGCGTCGAGTCCGCATCGAGCACGCGTCGGGCCCCCAAAAAGACACCAATTTTTGGGACAGGCGAGGTCCCCCGAAGATGCAACAGAACCATTAGTGGAAGATGCCAGGGGCACTCCACGTGCGCACGGCACCGCGTTCCGCGTGGGCCCCAGCGGGGCAGCTGGGCGACGTCCGTAGACAGCCAGATGCACCCAGCGGAACGAACGTCGATTACTCCAGATTTCGTAATAAAAGGGAGGGGGTCTCAACCCTCCCAGACCAGAAGTTTTAGACCCCCCCAGACCATCCAGGAAAGGGCGGCACTTTGCCCAGACCCCCCCAAACTCTTCAAGACAGCTCAAATCAGACCCCCCCGCCAAATGTGACCCCCCCTACTTTATTATGGAATCCGGAGTAGCGAAACCGACTGAGGACTGCACTGGCACACTCGAATGCCACTGTCAAGTGAGCCCGTGCGGATTTCCCAAGTCGCCTTGTCTGAGAGGGGGCATTCTGTCAACGCCCGAGCGGGCTTAGGCAACCACGCGTGAACCCTACCCCTGCAGGTCAGGTGTCTGCAGAACCGGCAGGGGCTCAAGATTTGAGCGATGCCCGCAGCCAAGTGTGAGCCCCTTCGGGGGTGTCCGAAACCCCTGCGTCGACCAGACCCGTAGGGGTAGGGCTCGCCATCGGTCGCGGAGGGATGGGACGCCGAGAGACGGGCTCCCCTTTTCTGGTCCGCAGCGCGGTCGCGCATGAGAACCTTTGGCGGCGCGCACAAGGGGGTAATTAGAGGGAGGGGGGGAGGCTTCTAAGAAGCAGAAGCCTTCCCTCTCCCCCTACAGTCGGGCTGCTGAAAGAAGGAACGCAAAATAAGGAACGAAGCCCCTTCTTGGCCCTGTAAGCGCCTCCGTGCCCCAGGAGGGCAAGAGGAACAGCACCGGAGGAACCTGAGGAACATCGAGCCCCTTCCGAACCCAAACTGTTCATTACTTCAGCGTCTTGACTGAAGGAGGAGGAGGAGGAGGAGGAGGAGGATGAGGAGGAGGAGAAGGAGCCTTCCCCCTCCCCCTACCCCCCTCTGCGCGTTGCCCAAAACCTGCCGAGGGCGAGCCCAGCGCCCTGTGCGGAGAGCGGGCCCCGGCACTCTGCGCCGGCACGCGATCTTTTGGCCTTTCGCTCCGGGTTGGGCGCGGAGGCGCCCCCCCCCCAAGGGACAGCCGTCCAGGCTGGCTGGGCGCTCGGACGCGTCATGCACACACACACACACACACACGCACTCACTCCCACACGCACTCCACATTCCCACACACACTCCCCCACACACACTCCCCCACACACACACACACACACACACACACACACACACACACACACACACACACGCACACACACACACACACACACTCCACACTCACTCCCACACTCACTCCCACACTCACTCCCGCACTCACACTCACTCCCACACTCACTCCCACACACACTCACACACACACACAATCCACACTCCCACACACACACACACACACAAACACACACACACACACACTCCACACGCACACGCACACTCCCACACACATCCAACACAGTGGCTCCTTTCGGGGGCACGTGCCCTCTGTGCAGAGCCCGAGTCATAGTAGACTGCCCATACTCTCCTCCTCCTCCTCCTCCTCCTCCTCCTCCTCCTCCGCCTCCTCCGCCTCCTCCTCTCCTCCTCCTCCCCCTCCTCCTCCTCCTTCTACTCCTCCTCCTGGAGCCTGCAGGAAGGGAGGAAAGCAGGAGGACGAGGAAGGGGGTGAGGAGAACGGATGAATAGGACAACGAGAAAGGGGAGGAAGAGCATAGAAGAGGGAGAGGAAGAAGGAAGGGGGGGAAAGGAGGAGGGAGAGGGGAAGGGGGAGGACGGAGCACAGGCAGGAGAACATAGAGGAGGAGGGAGGAGTTAGGGATGAGGAGGAAGAAGAGTCAGACGAGGAAGAAGTGAGGGATGAGGAGGAACAGCACGAGGAAGCAACGATGAGGGGGAAAACAAAAGCAACCCCAGGATGCATCAACAACGCTTCCTTCTGGCTCAAAGAAACGTAACTGACTGTTTTTGCTTAACAAAACACCCAAAAACATAGATAGACCCGTGTTGAGAAAGTGTTGCCCTCCATCCGCGTAACCGTTGCAGAAACTTGAACATCGGGGCGTACACATTCAGAAGTCTCAAGCGAGAGGCGCATTTTGAAAGCAACCTGACCTATATCCTTGCAAATGCTGCGAAGTGTCAAAACGAATGTGTGCGGCGCTGAGGCGTGAGCCGCATTTTGAAAATGACAGGCCCTTGCAACTGATGTCAGCTTTTGAATCGAATGTGCGCGGCGATGCGGCGAGAGTCGCACTTTGAACACGGCTGGCCCTCCATCCCTGTAGTCGTTGGAGCTTTTAGCAGCAGGTTAATAAGAACGCCCAGCTCGGAAACGCCCAGCCGGGCCTACAGACAGGTCTGGTGGTGCGACAAGGGAAAACTATGCATGAGAGACAACAAGGGATGGAGGGGGAGGGGGAGGGGGAGGCGGGAAGAGGAGGAGGCGGAATTGGAGGAGGAGGAAGAGGAGGAGGAAAAGGAGGAGGAGGAGGAGGAGGAGGAGGAGGAGGAGGAGGAGGAAGGGGGGCAGGAGGGGGAGGGGGAGGGGGAGGAGGGGGAGGAGTTGCAGCAGCAGCAGCAGCAGCAGCAGCGGCAGCAGCGGCAGCAGCGGCAGCAGCAGCAGCAGAGAGGAGGAGGGAGGACGTGGCAGGAAGTGCGACTGCCATCTGAAGGGGGAGTGGAGCCAAAGACCTATTCCGCACAAGCACGGGCTGAACCTGAAGCTCCGAGTGCAGGTCGGCGATCATGCCCTCGAGCTGCGAAAAGCGGTTGGAAGAGACCCGCTCCACGTCCTCCCGCCTGCGCCTCTCGACGTCCCGCTCGCCTCGGAGCCGCTGGACCTCTGCCTGGAGGCCCTGGATCGCCGCCTCGGACCCCGCAGACCTGTGGGACCTGGCGGAGTCGGGGGCTGGCGCCTCGCCCGGGCGCTCCGCCTTCAGCCGCTGCACCTCCGCCATCAGCTCGCCGATGATCTTCTGCGACGCCTCGGAGCGCGCAGACCCGCGGCTCGCGTTCGAGCGCGCGGACCACTGCAGCTTGCGAGGTTCCGAGGCCTCCGAGCACGCCGAGCGCCCAGACAGTGGCACGGCCTGCGACCTCGGCGTGCCGGGCAGGGCCCCGGGCGCCTGCTGCCCGAGGGCCGCGGCGGGCGCCGGCGACTCCGCCGCACTGCCCCTGGGCGATGCCGCGGCCACGGCCACGAGCGGCCCGAGCCCGCTGGCGTCGCTGCCGGCGGCGCTGCCCGCCGCGCTGCCGCCGCCGGCCACCTGCTCGAAGCCCGCGATGCGCAGCGGCCGACCGGGCGAGGCGGCCGGCGCCAGGGCCCCCGGCTCCTCGAGTCTCCGCAGCGCTGCGGCGAGCAGCCGCCGCAGGGCCTCAAGCAGCCGCCCGCGGCACAGGGCAACGGCGGCGGCGAGCGCCGCAAGGCTCAGAGCGCGCCGGCGCATCGCCAGCGAGAGCATCGGCGCGGGGGCGTCCAGGGGCGCGCGGGCTGGGGAGGCCCGGGCAAAGCAAAAGGGGGTTACACCCAGGAGGGTCACCACTTCCTCGGGGACCCGCCACCTCTTCCAGGAGATGGGGCGCCCAGGATACTCCGGAGCCCCACAAAACAGTCCTTACGTCCAAAGCCACCTCGAGCTTCGATCCTGGAAGCTCGATCCTGAGTAGGAACAGAGGAACTGCTGAAAGTCCCCCCCTTGGCACTGCCCGAGGAGGCGGGGACCTCGCGCGGCACGCTTCCTTGGGGCGCGCGCGACCAGGGGCACAGGGTAACGGAGCCTCGGGAAGCGAGCGCGCAACCGAGCGCGGGCCCTTTTCATATCCCTTCCTTCCAAACTCCCCTAATGTTCCTCCATTCCCATATGTTTTTCCTCCGTCCTAGACATGAGGGAAAAGGAGCAAGAGGCAGAAGAGCGAGGAGGAGGAGAAAAAGGAGGAAGAGGAGGAGGAGGACGAGGACGAGGAGGAAAGGAGGAGGACGAGGAGGAGGAGGAGGAGGAGGAGGAGGAGGAGGAGGAGGAGGGAGAGGAGGAGGAGGAGGAGGAAGAGGAAAAAGAGGAGGAAGAAGAGGAGGAAGACATGGAGGAGGAGGATGCGGAGGAGGAGGAGGAGGAGGAGGAGGAGGAGGAGGAGAAGGGGGAGGAGCCATGGAGCCATGGAACCATGGAGCCATGGAGAACGGAGACCGAAACCCGCGCGAGAGGACTGCTGCCTCCTCGCAAAGCGGGCCGCCCTCCGCCCCCACACGGGGAAACCACCCTGCTCACGCGCAGGGGAGGCCGTTCGCTCGTGGACGAGGAGCTCACGCAACACGGCCGAGGTACAGGTCATCGCCTTGTCGCCCCGCGATTCGCTACTCATACGTGATGGCGGTGGTGCATAGGAAAATGGCCACTTCACCTCCTCACTGCGAGGTCCGTCCCACCTGTTAACCCCTGCTAGTGTGTGTGTGTGTGTATATATACATACATAGATATACAAATATATATATATATATATATACACTAGAACCATCGCGAGCGGTTCGCTCGTGCTCAAGTTCTAGCTAGGCTTTTGATCGGCGAACCCACGTAATCTCATGTTGGTCGCTTTCTGCGTCCAGGGACTCCCTTGGAGGCCCTGCGCAATGCCTCGGAATCGTATAGAAGGGGATGTGCGGAAACGCAGAAATCATGAAATTATTTCCTTTAGGTATTCAACGATTCGGGGCCCGCAAAGGTTCCCTGAGTTTTTTTGGGGGAGGTGAAGCGGGTCTGTTGCGCAAGAGTAGGCTGGGGGCCAAACTTGAAAAACAAAACAAACAAACAAAAAAGACTTGTGGGATTTCCATGTTTTTCCTGTTCCTCGGCGCTGTTCGGCGCTGCTTTTGTTTGTGCCTCGCGAGTTTTGTTAGCCGGGCCTCTCAGGGGTGTGGGATCTTCCGGACCCCCTGGGGGTTCTGGAAGCCTCCTGGAGGCCTGGAGAGCCGTCGGAAGGGTGTCTCGGGCTGCGCGGGAGCGGGTTGGGCAATTTTCTACGTTCTGGGGGTTCCTTAGGGTCGTCTTGGGCTGCCCTTGGGCGTCTTGGGGGCCTCCCGGGAAGCCGGGAGGCGCGGTACCTGCCAGATGTCAGGGGATGTGCGGGATCTCCGAATCGGAGTCTCACTTTGAGGGAGAAGGAGAAAAAACAAAAATGGGAATTGTTTTTTCAACAAACAAACAAAAACTTCGAGGGTTGGAAGCGGGAAAATTTCATAAGGTGAAAAACATTAGAAAAACAATGGGAAATCAACGATTGTATCCTCTTTGAGCGCGGCTTTCGCAGCTCTCTTGGGCTGCTCTTGGAGCCTCGTCGGGGTCTTTTTGGGGCCGTTCAAAGATCGGGGGGGTGTTGGGGGCCTCTGGGGGGTCCCGGAGGCCTCTCGGAACTCGCTGGAAGCCTGCTCCCGCTCTTGGGCCCATTTTGAGCCTGTTCTGAGGTAGTCTGGGGCTGTCCTGGGCGCCTCTTCGGCTGTCTTGGAGCCTTCTTTGCTCGTCTTGGGGCCGTCCTGAAGGTTTCTGGGGTGGTCTTGGGGCGGTCTTGGGAGCCTTTTTCGGAGCTCCTGGACCGTTGGAAGCTCGAAAACGCGAGAAGCCAAAAACATCGACGATTTGGGCCTCTTCGGGCCGTCCCGGGACGACTCTCGGACCTCTGTGGGGGTCGCTTGGAGGCCACCTGGGAGCCTCGAGAGCCGTCCGAAGGCTGACTTGGGCTGCTTGGGAACGTCTTAGACCATCCTTTCGCATTCTGGGTGTTCCTGGGAGGTGTCTTGGGCCCTCCTGGGGCGCTGTGGAGGCTCCCTGGAAAGGCCTCCTGGGCTCCTGGGGGGCGTTCTTGGGCGGTTTGGGCGTCTCGTTGGCCGTCTTGGCCCCCTCGTGGGCCGTTTTGGGGCCCTCTTGGGGGTATCCTCGACCGGCTTGGGTGCCTCTTGGGCCGTCTTGGATGCAGTGGACGCCCAAAAAGCAAACACGCCAAAAATATCAGTTATCCATGGGAAATCGACAACGTTTGCTTATTAGGCCACTCTCGGGGCGTTTTCGGAACCTCTTTTGGTGTTTTCTGTCGGGTCTCATGGAGGCCTTTTGGGGCTTCTGGGCCCCTTCTTGGAGCCTCTTGGGATCTCCTGGGGGTCTCTTGGGCCAAACAAAAGGCCCGAATTTCCGGTTCCTCGTCCCCATCTTGGGCGCCGCCTTGGGGCGTTCTTGTGCGGTTTGGGCGCATCGTGGGCCGGGTTGGCCCCTTCGTGGGCCGTCTTGGGGCCCTCTGGGGGGCATCCTCGACCGGCTCGGGTGCCTCTTGGACCGTCTTGGACGCAGTGGACGCCCAAAAGGCAAACACGCCAAAAGTATCAGTTTCCCATAGGAAATCAACGATTTTGTCTTATTGGGCCTCTCTCGGAGTGCCTCTCGGGGCGTCTTCGGGGCCTTCGGGGGCCTTCTTGGCGTCATGGGAATCGTCTTGAAAGGCGTCTGGAGCCATCGCTGCGGCCTCCTGGGGCCCCCCTGCAGCCTCTTGAGGCCCTGTTGGCCGCACGTCGCCGAAACCCCGTTGGAGAGAAAAAAAACAACAACAACAACAGAAAAACAAACAAACAAAAAAAACAAAAAACAAAAAAAACAAAACAACAAAAAAAAAAAAAAACGACGCCAGGTCCCCCCATGCCCTGTCGAGGTCGCGGTCCCGGGCCCCCGGTCCTCGTCCCCCGAAATACACACACACACACACACACACACATATATATATATATATATATATATATATATATATATATATATACATATACATACATACATACATACATTACATACATACATACACACATACATACATACATATACTTGCTCGCCCCCCCCCCCCCCATGATCATACACATTCTCCCATCATCCCTCCAGTCATCATAACCCGTTCCTTCCTCCTGTTTTTCTTCATGATGGTTTGCTACGTTGCAAACCGCAATTCCGTCGATTGCAATCCAAACACTTCAGCGCGAAGCGACTTCAGTCTTTCGCGGCGCATTGCAATCCAATCTCACCATCTCATGTTTATGATGCCCCTCCTCCTCCTCCTCCTCAGCATCCTACTCCTTCTCAACCTCAAGCTCCCCCTCCCTCTCTTTCTCTTTCTCATCTTTCTTCTTTGAAGCTTTCTCCACCTTCTCCTCATAATTGTCCTCTCCTCCTCGTCCTCCTCTTCCTCCTCCTCCTCGATACCAAACGCCTTGTCCTCCTCGTCCTCCTCCTCATTTTCCTCCTCTACCGTCTCCCAATCCTCCTCCACATCCTCTTCCTCCTTATGTTTGTCTTCTTCCCCCTCCGCTTCAAAATCAAATGCATTGGCCTCAACTCTTCTCTTCCTCCTCCTCTTCCTTCTCCTTCCCCTCGTCCTCCTCATTCTATGGATCCTCATCCACTTCTTCCTCATGTTTGTCCTCATCATTCTCCTCCTCCTACCCCCTCTCACTTTCAAACTCCTTGTCCTCCTCTTCCTCCTCCTCCTCCTCCTCCTCCTCCTTGTCCTCTTCATCTTCCTTCTCTGAATCCTCCTCCATCTCCTCTTCGGCATGTTGTCCTCCTCCTATTCCGATTCCGCAAATTTAAATTCATTGTCCTCCTCCTGCTTCTCTTCCCCTCCTCCTTCTTTAAATTATCCTCAAGCTCTCCCTCATCTTTGTCCTCCTCATCAGAATCCTCCTACTATTCTTCCTTCTCCTCCTTCTCTGAATCCTCATTCACCTCTTCCTCCTCCTCCTTCTCCTCCTCCTCCCAATGTTTGTCCTCCTGCTCATCGTCTCCTCCTCCTCCCCCTCCACCACCTCCTCCTCCACCTTCTCCTCCAAACCATATTTGCCCTACTCCTCAAAATTGAGCCCCTTGTTCTCCTCCTCCTCCTCCGCGTCATCTGGTGAATGCCGAGCTCCAGTGGCACCAGCCATAGTTGAGCAACATCCTCCCCCATTTTCCACCGCCTCTTCCTAGCTGTGGAGCGGCGTTCACAACAAGTTTTGTGAATAATGATTCGTAGCGGAAGGTTGCTCGCAAGGTTTGTTGTGGAGTTGCATTCGCAATTAGATTGGAGGGTAACGCCTCGAAGTGGAGAGAAGGGGGCTGAGTGATCAGGAGCCGTAGCAGCAGGAGGAGGAGGAGGAGGAAGAAGACGAGGGCGAGGAGCATGACGAAGGTGAGGAGCAACACCTTACTCACAAAACTAGGTGTGGAGCGGCGTCCACAGCTAGTTTTGCGAGTAATGTTTCGTAGCAGGAGGCTGCTCACAAAACTGGTTGTGGAGCTGCGTTCACAACTAGATTTGCGAGTGACGCCACGAAGCGGAGAGGTGGGGGTAGAGTGAAGAAACGAAGGAGGAGGAAGGGGGGAGGAGCAGGAGGAGTAGGAGGAGGAAGAAGAGGAGGGTGAGGAGCATGACGAAGGTGAGGAGCAACACCTCACTCACAAAACTAGGTGTGGAGCGGCGTTCACAGCTAGTTTTGCGAGTAATGTCTCTTATCAGGAGGCTGCTCGCAAAACTGGTTGCGGAGCTGCGTTCGCAACTAGATTTGTGAGCGACGCCATGAAGCGGAGAGGTGGGGTTGAGTGAAGAAAAGAAGGAGGAGGAAGGATGGGGAGGAGCAGGAGGAGTAGGAGGAGGAAGAAGAGGAGGGCGAGGAGCATGACGAGGGTGAGGAGGAAGACATCACTCACAAAACTAGGTGTGGAGCGGCGTTCACAGCTAGTTTTGCGAGTAATGTTTCGTAGCAGGAGGCTGCTCG